CAAAAGTCGTTCTAACTCATTTTCGGATCTGTGGTCTCGCACTTTACATCACTTTAAATTCACTGTGGCCATTTGCGATTTGTTCAGCCGTTACCTTTCGTTAGTTTCGGTTGCTGTCCTTCTGTCTAGACAGTACTGTTACCGTATTGAGTTTACTCAGCTTCTAACTAAGCTTTGGCTGGAGTGCAATGCATTGAGTAGATAAAATTTGCTACTTAAGTAGCTCCAAATCTCCTAGTTTCGTTATTGTCAAGCAAAAATGCTGTTCTGTTCAACAGTCGTCCAGTTCCGAGCGCTCTGGTAGTTTAGGGTAAAATTGACACTACCGTTATGTACGCAGTACGTCTTCCTTAAAGTACTTTCGGTTAATCCGATCTGCTATTCAGCGAACGGAAAAATTTGTCAGGATTCGTTGAAAATCATTTCGATTCGCTTGAAACCGTGTTATTATTGTTCATTTTAAGGGATTTACCTGTGATCATTTGTGGAATTAACGTCTGTTTGAGTTCGATTTGTATCAGGCATACGCGTGATTCGTCATACAAGCTATAGTTTTTACTTGAAAATGAATCTTGAATATAGGTTTAATGAACCAAAATATTCCCGTTTCTTTAAAATTTCTCTATCATATTAGCAATATTTAATGCAACTTAAAATAAACTTGCCAGATTCATGCTTGCAGTGATGCGTGATAAAATGAAAACCTTAATTACTGATCACCCATCAGAACCAACATTGTCCTCAAAATTAAATTTGAAAATCATAAAGTTTACTCTAATAGAGTAAGTTTAGCATTGAACCAGATAAATGCGAAGTTGTCTACTATCAAAGGTGGTTGTGCCGGGGTTTGAACCTCGGATCTCATGAATCCACTTGAACCAGTGATAGCCAAACGAACTACTCAGGCTCCATCAACTTCCAAGAGTGATTCAGAGCCTGCGCGCCGAGCCACCTAGTACAGTAATCGCAGCAGGCTCAGGGGGCCGTGAGCTGTGTGAAACTGGAGATGAAGTTCTTGTTAATAATAAAACGATTTGCTTTTCTTGAGCCTATTCAATGGATTAAAGAGAAAGAGATAAAGTAAGCACTTGCTTCACTCCGGGCATAAAAACAGTATTCGTGGATGAGGTATATCTCCGCTTCGTCAAATACACCGGTTCGCATGTTATTCATTATGAACACCTCCGGCCATTTGCTATACGCGTTCACTACAGTCAAGTTACTGTGACCCGTGAATGGTCTGCTATAGTGTGATGTGCATTGGTGTCCTAGAATCTTCAAGTTACGTTCATGAACAAAAGTCGGAATGTTTTGTATCTTCGACCCCATCGTGCAATTGGTGCATACAAAATGCAGCTCTTCAAGTTGTTTCTTCATATCCAGTTAGTAGGGGAATCTTCGAACCAGGCTATTCATGCTGTTGACTCCAACGTGAAACCATCACACCATTTTCTTCTAAAAATCCCTGGGCTTGACGACCCACTAAGCAAACAGGATGCACCCGTTGACGACAGACTATTTATTTACTTCGGTCAAATTGTTTAATTGCCCTGGAAGGTGTTCTCGACTAATGCGTGTGATAAAACTGTGACATTTGAAACTCTGGGTGGTGTTGCCTAGCTTGGCGAATGTCCTCTGCAGTGTCCGATAGAGTGCGTATAACCCGCGTTCTTCGAATTTCATTGCAACTGGCATAATAANATAATAGTATTCTGGAATCCTGGTGTCCTTAGTCGATCAGGTTAGACAGAATGCCTGCTTGGCCGATGACCACAATGAACAAGAGTTTAATTTCATGGTCTTTTCCGAGGTATGTAGTTGATCAGCGCTGCATTCTGTTCCCCAAAAACACTGGAATGCTTTTAAGCCGAACACCGCTATGAGTGGTATTTTATCCGGGTGTTTCATGAAATGAAGAGCATAAATCTCGTAAAATTTCCGTATAAAGAAGATGATTACATTCGGTCTTATGTTCAGTCTTTACATGGTTCCTTTCCACCAATGTCAGATATCTGGCAGCGTGATAATTCATTTGCTCTGAAGCGTTCGGAAAAACAAAAGGTCACTGCACCAACTCCATGTTTGAAGGCATTTGACTGGATCATGATGAGCCGGTGTCGGTTGAAACATGTAACGAATAGGTTCTGATTCAGCATCACCTTTACATCGTTAAAAAATATATTTCAGTAGTCTCGTGGCCATATCCATTTAACTTCACCCTTCGTATCGTCAACACTAGCTGCCGGAATCGAGACTTATCTGGCAAGTGTGACGGATTGTAATACCTCCAGCCCAATAATAATCACAAATTGGTTACTTCTGTTGGTGAGCGTATCCGTCGTATTGTGTCGACGGCGCTTGGCTCGGTTCGTGGTCGTGACCATCAGTGACGAAGCCCAGGTATCGGACCGAAGGTTGGAAGAATTTGCATTTGTAGTAGGCGTAGGCGAAATCCGAGAAGGCTATCTCCTGCATATCTAGTTTTAATAGACCACCGGAAATGCAGCTTATGTAACCAACAGTTTAGCTCGGACGACTGGTCTTACATCAGGGCGGGGGCACTGATTTGCTTTTATCCTTGTACAGTACCTGAGTTAATCCTCAACTTCCATAGTGAACTTATCCTATAGTGCCCAGATCAGCTTTGCAGCCTACCGATCCGTTGTCAGATAGAGTTGCAATCGTTTAGAACTGTTACACACATTGTTCAATAGCACGTAGAGTATCGATAATTGTTCTGTCCAGTTGAACCCGAGGTGGTTGAGGTTCCACTGATCGCTTAAATTTGTTTGTGCTGAATCGCGTAACATATGTGAATTATTCCGTGAGCGAAAGTGGTCCACTCAACGATTTTTGGGCCTTTTTGTTTAGTACAACCATCATAAGTCATCTGATCAACGTCCAAGTCTTGTTTGAATTGATCGTGAGTTAGGACGTCGTATCCCTCTGAATTCGTGCTTAGACGCCGTTAACCAAAATAGTCCAGCTTGAAATATGTCGTGAATGCGTCCATGGTGGAATGAGGCTTTGAGCCCAACCTCTTTTGGAGGAGCATGAAGTGTCCTTACATCCTTGGCTGTGTGCTTCCAGGGTTTCGGTTGGCACTTCAGTGGTCTTCTTTGTAGCCTCACTGTTTAAATTTTTGTATGACATGTTTCATAAATTAACAGAAGCAAAGAAAAGGCATCTCACCACAGTCAGTTGCCTTTGTAGGATTGTTTGATGCTGGTTCATGGGATCTACGACTGCGTGTAATGGG